GAAATAATTTCTCTTTAATCAATCTATCAAAACTTATCATGATTGAATTTCTTTTTAACCTTCGCTACTCTAAGAGAAACAGTGTCAACTTCTCTGATTTCCACATAACTAATATCCCTTCAGCCCTTGTACTGCATTAGGTGGTTGCTGTTCATTAATCTGTGTCTTTTTTGACCGTACTGGTCATATTTCAGCATTTTTTTTTAATTCATTCACGGGATATGGGCATCGCTGGCCAAGCCAGCATTTATTCCCCATCCATAATTGCCCAGAGGTCAGTTAAGAGTCGAGCATAGTGCTGTGGGTCTCAAGTTACATGTAGGCCAGACCAGGTAAGGCTGACAGATTTTTGTCCCTAAACGACATTAGTGAACCAGATTGGTTTTTCCAACAATTGACAATTGTTTCATGGTCATCAGTAGATTCTTAATTCCAGATTCTTTGTTGAATTCAAATTTCACCATCTGCCACAATGGGATTTGAACCCGGGTCCCCAGAAAATTAGCTGAGTTTCTGGATTAATAGTCTAGGTTTAATACCACTAGGCCATTGCCTCTCTGTGTTTTTTAAAGCCATAATCTACATAGATGCTGTTTCTAATTGAAATCAACATATAATAAATGTTTCTAAGTAATCTTGTTGATTCTTTTCTTGTTTCACCATACTAAGTGTGAGCTAACTGAGATCAACATAGGCTAAGAACTCAAAGGTTGAATCTCTTGGTCTTTTTGACTTCGAGCTGGGGTTGGCACTGTCACCTTTGGGATAACTAAAAGGCACATTTGTTGTTAATCGCCGTTAAACCATCTGCACTTGTGACCTTGCTTATACATTACTTTGTACATTCTGCGTCAATGGAAATTTTAATAATTAAAATAGTTTTATATCCAATAATAGTATCATAATGTGAGACTGTGGCCTAAGACTGAGGATCTTACAAAAATGGGCATGGTCTCTTACCCTGTTGTTTGTTAAAAATGATATATTTAGTCATGAACAGGCTGGGTTAATGTAGAGCAGTGTCTTTCCTGAGCTACATTCTCTCCATCTACAAAAATAAACCTCACTTAACTTCTCCCACCATCTTATAAGTAAAAAAAAATACTTACATTTACATAAAAGCATGTATTGATCCTTGTTTTGCTAAATTAATGCCTAATCTTTTCTGCCTATTCTTTCTGAAAATTCTGCAATTGCTTGTAGCCTACATTACCCATTTGTGTATCTAGATTATTCTCTATATTTTGGGGGTGGGGGACTTGGAGTAAGAGAAATGCAGATGGCTTATATGCACAGCGCTTAGCAGTGAGGATTGTGGCTGCTGGTGAGGAGCAGAACAATGGCTGACTTTCACCTTGTGTCCCCCTGCAGAGAGAACAGAGCCAGGAGTAGGGTAAACAGCTCGTTTACCATTGAATAAGATTGCATCTTCTGCCATAACTCAATTCTAATCCCTTCATCTAAGAAATAGTTGATTTTGTTAGTTTTGATCCACTACCATCGTACCATGGGCGTAGTGCGTTTCTGCCAGTCTGAAAATAAGAAAATAAATGGCCTGTACAAGGATTGAACTCTCAGCTTAAGTGTTATTAGCACCATGCTCCAAACAACTAAATTAAACAGCCTAACAGTAGACTTTATATAGTTCCTTCTCTGACTCAGGACATTCCAAAGCATTTTACAGCTAATGAAATGCTTCTGGAGCGCAATCTCTGTATTGTCGAGAATGAAGCAGCTGATTTTCACCCAGCAAATTCCCACAAACAACAATGTGATAATGACAAAATAATCTATTCTGGTGGTATTGATTGAGAAATGATTATTGACTCAGTACATTTGAGAAAGTTTCCGTGCACCTTTTCAATAGCACCATGGGCTGTTTTACATTGACCTGCAAATGAAGACAGGGCCTTGGTTTAATATCCAAAAGGCCATGGAGAATGCCATTTCTGGCACACTTCCTTGTCTCTATTGTCAGACACATCTGCTTTCTTAACTTTGACACTGCTACTCAAAACCTCCACACTTAGAAAATACAGTCTCTTGACCAGAAACGTCTGTCATCATACAAATGTTTCCATTGCTGAACTTTGTCTTTGACAAGCTCATTCCCACCCTAGACTATCTCCCATACTTGTTGCTCCCTGGGGTCTGTTAAATTGTCTTTGTGACTTCGTATTTGTCGTGCATCCGACAATTTCAAGACAGCAGTATTTTCTATTCCACAATGATCAGTACAATTAAGGCAGTCCCAATCTTTCCCCTTGCACCACAAGGCATCAACTTGTGCTCCTTGAATCTCGACATATTTACAACACAGAATCACTTCTGCAGAAGCAACTGTCTTTCTCTCTCCACAGATGCTGCCAGATTGCTGCGTTTCTCCTGTTCTTTCTGTTTTATTTATAGAATCAGGCTGTTTATCCATACTGGTGTTTATGCTTCACCCATCAACGTATACCGTTCCTTTCTCCCTTGTTGTGCACCTTGAATGAATGCACTTGGGGTATTCGCCCAATCCAAGTAGTAGCAACGTCCTCATTCTAAACAGTTTCTGGTAGAGAGGTTCCTTTTAGATTTATTATATTTTCTAATCAACCTCTTCAGGGATGTTATGACGCACCCATGGAGCAGGTGGGACTTGACCCCAGACCTTCTGGTCCAACGATAGGGACACTACCTGTGCACCATAAGAGCCCCCCCCCCCCGTAAGATTTATGAGTGACTATTTTCGTTTGGTCTTGCTGGCAAGTGAAAGCAATAGGGTTCCAGCAACCTTATAAAAACTTTTTATAATCTTAAAAACCTCTTTCAGGTCACCTATCCTGACGACTGGCACCTAATACAAGGAATTCATAGTCTGTATGTAGAATTGGAACCGCAGTTGATGAGACTGTTTGCTTTCTCTTCTGTTTTACATCTTTGAGTACTCATATTAGTCACACTTCATACTTGGATTGAATAGGTTATGTAACTGTACATCCATCTTTCTTCTTGGAGTTTTGTATTATTATGAGTTGACCACACCCATCATTGCACTTAACTGGAAAATAGAGAGACTCTCTATGTGTTCAATTGGAAGGCAGTGTTCTGTGACTTGACCTTCAGGTCTTAGAACGCAGCAGTTATATTCCACCCTTGATAAAAACAAACAATAGATCTGGGAAAGAATAAAACACATGCATTATTTTCACCCACAGGATGTGAAGCTCATTCCATCTCATTAAGTGCTTTCTAAGTGTAATCAGTGCTGCAGTACCAAGAAACATGGCAGATAATTTGCGCGAGATCACACAAGCAGTAATGCAGTGATGACTTGGGTATTTGTTTTAATGGTGTTGGTTAGATAAATGTTAGGAAGACACACTGATTCAGATAGTCGTAGAGGTATACAGTACGGAAACAGACCTTTCAGTCCAAATTGTCTACGCCAACCAAATATGCTAAACTGATCTAGTCCCATTTGCTAGCATTTGGCCCATATCCCTCTAAACCCTTCCTATTCGTATATCCAACCAGATACCTTTTAAATGTTGTAATTGTACCAGCCTCCACCACTTCCTCTGGCAGCTCGTTCCATACGTGCACCACCCTCCGTATGAAAACGTTGCCGCTCAGGTCCCTTTAAAATCTTTCCCCTCTCACCTTAAACCTATACCCTCTCATTTTGGACTCTCCTACCCTGTAAAAAGACCTCAGCTATTCACCCTATCCGTGCCCCTCATGATTTTATAAATCCCAGCCTCTGACGTTCCAGTGAAAAATATCCCAATCTTTTCAGCTGCTCTCTATAGCTCAAACCCTCCAATCTTGTCAACATCCTTATAAATCTTTTCTGAACCGTTTAAAGTTTAACAACCTTCCTCCTATAGCAAGGAGACTAGAATTGAAAACAGTATTCCAAAAGTGGCCGTACCAATGTCCTGTACAGCCTCAACATGAGATCCTAGCTCCTATACTCGATGCAGTGACCATTGAAGGCAAATGCCTTCTTCACCACCCTGTCTACCTGCGACTCCACTTTCAAGGAATTATGCACCTCCACGCCTAAGTAAATTTCGTTCGACAACACTTGCCAGGGCTCTACATGAAGTGATTTATGGTGATTTGCAAAAGAAGCAATAGTGACATGAAAAAGTTTATTATGCAACAAGTGGTTAGGATCTGGAACGCTCTGACTGAGATTGTGATGGAGGTGGATTCAGTTGTGGTTTTCAAAAGGAAATTGGATAACCATTTGAAGAGATGATGGGTAAGGACTGGGGTGTGAAACTGGCTGAGTTGCTCATGCAGAGAGCTGGCACAGAAACGAACCGTGGAGTAGCCTTCTTCATGTTGTAACCATTTTATGAATATATTTTCTGCATCTACCAAAATATTTCATAATTCTCTATCTATTGGGTGTCACTTCTAAGTCCTGTCTTTTTTAGAGAAACGAGCAAAAGCCCATTCATTATTTCCTGATTGCTGTGCGTACTCAGTTCCTGTGACATCCTAATAAATCTTACATTGTATCTCATTGATAACTATAATCTGCTTGTAAGATGGCGACCAAAACTGTGCAGAAAACTTGATTTTATTTATTCACCTACAGGATTTATTGCCTATTCCTAATTGTCCTTGAGAAGATGTTGGTCAGTCATCTCCTTCAATGTAGTTGAGTGACTTGCTCGGCCATTTATTACTTAACCACACTGTTGTAGCTATAGGGTTACGTGGGCCAGTGTGGGTAAAGATGATATATTTCCCTTCCCTAAAGAACGTTAGTGAGCTAGGCGTTTTGAGAATCTGATAGTTTCATGGTCTTCGTTACTGGTACTGGCTTTTTAGACCGGATGTATTGAATTCAAAAGCTATTGTGGGACTTAAACATATGTCTCTGGATCTAGTATGTTACTGTACCTTTATCTAGCTAAGGGCCTATAAAGTTATATCTCAGTTTTAACATTTTTTAAGCAATTTTCTCTAGTAATGGTAATTTGTTCTTTTCTATTCTCTAGCATCAACAGACACTACTGAACCAATTGAGGGAAGTCACTGGTACCAATGACATACAGTTACTGCAACAAGCTTTACAGGTATTGTACAATTTTTAACAGAAAAACTTCCTTGATCAGTTCACAGGTACGTTGCAATTTATTGAGCTTAATGTTCCCAACTTCTAGAATAATGAGCAACTGGAGGATCCAGGTTGATGCAATTGACGAGAAGTAATGGAGGCATGAAAAATTTTTTTACACAACGAGTTGTCATGATCTGTAATGTGTTGCCTGAAAGACTAGTGGCAGTGAATTCATTAACTTTCAGAAGAAAATGAGATAATTTAAGGGAAAAATTGCAGGTTAGTGGGGAAAGGGGGGAGATGGGTCTAACTGAATTTTCAAAAGTCTTTAAAAAGCTTTTTAAAAGACTGAATAGCTATCTGTTTTGCAGTAAGATCCCATGATTCTTATAAGGTAGTTACAAATTTACATTTATTGTTTGCAATAAAGAATGAGCACATTGCATGGAAATGGCTTTAGAATGGATAATTCCAGTAAAATGCTCACTGTGACAGGCTAAATGCATCCTATATTGTGTTTTTTCTGATTCCATGCATCTAGCTGAGGCCCAAGTTGTCATTAAAAAAAAGTTTAAAAATTCTCACAAGGAAAGTGAGATGTTGCTAAGTTAGGATATTGTGTTCAGCCGTAGAGTCATCAAGGTCTACAGCACATAAAACGGTCAATCGAGTCAGCGCCGATTAAAAACAACTAACACAAACGAAATTAGTGCTGATGTTCTTGTCCGGGCTATGAAGTATTGTAATTGGAGTAATGGCTTCCTGCCAGTGACAAGTCAGTATGTTTGGTTGTGTGCAGAATATCATATTCAGCTACAGATGAGTTACATACCAATAAAAGGTCACAGCATTTTAGATGAGCATTTAGTTGCTTAGACACTGATCACTCTACCAATATTATAACCAGGTTTATTCAGCATGATAATGCCAGTGTCTCAGCTGAAAAATGTTTAATCAGATCACTTCAGTGTACAAATTAATTCTTTTATTCTGCATTAATTTATCACCTACATAATGGTCTTGAGTCAACTACCACTATCACAACTTGCAATTATATCGTGCCTTTAATGTTCACCATCACCAGTAACAGACTTATAACCAACAGTACTTTGCCCTGAATGCGGCACAGTACAAAATGTAGTGGGATCCTTATGTCCATCCTTATCATTGGAGCAATTAGATTTTGTAGAATTGTATAGCACAGAAGACCATTAGCCACTGTGGCATTACTGACATTTTGGTAAAAGTATGCAGTTAATTCCTCTCTCCTCCATGTAGGTCTGACAGCAGATTCCCTTCCCTCATTAGTGCACCTGTTTAAAGCAGTATATTTCAGATCGTAATAACTCGTTGCGTAACTAAAAATATTTCTGCGCATCATCCCAGTTTTTCTAACGTTGCTCAAAAATGAGAAATCCTCTGACAGTATAGCTTTCCCTCTGGATTGTGTTGAGTTGCCAGACAAGATCTCGTGATGCTCAAATCCTACTGTGGATTCAAACCTGCAACTATCTGATTCAAATATGAGTGCTTGCATGTGAGCCAAATTAACCTGTCAAACCTAAATTTTAACCATGAAAAAAAGTGAGACAGTAACAGAATGAAATTGACAGAGATGTATCCAGTTTAATGAAAACTTAAGTAAAGCAAAATCTGCAATGGCATGCATTCTGGGTGTGTGCCTTGGAAATAATATGAAGTGTAATCTTTCTGCTTGAGTGGTAAAATGTAAGTTTGGGAGTCCTTCCCATCAAAACACATTTTCTCCTAGGTTCTGGGCCTCATTGGCAAGGACCCATTAATTGACCGTCCCTTTTTATATTGAGGGGGTGGTGGTGGACCTACTTGAGCGATTATGGTCCATGAAGTTTTTAATCTTTGGTCTGGTACAACTGAATGGCTTAGTGTGCAAGCGGAATTGCATGGTGGCCTGACAGCAGATTTCTTCCCTAATTAGTGCGTCTGTTGCATTTTTTACAACAATCTGACAGCTTCTATTAGGTGAATGGAAAAATCAATTACAGAAATAACCTCCCACAGATGAAATGGGAGAGAACGCATTTTGACTTTAGCACAAGAGTTGTTACTCTGCCCTCATGTCATAACGTGAACAAAGTGAAATGCTATGAATTGGGGTTGGTGTAGCAAGCTACATGCTTACAAATGCTGCTTTGCCACTGACGTTTGTACCAGTCTCCATAAACGTTACCATTTGCACCATTAAAATGAAACTAAACTCAAAGCTGAAAACTTTTACAGTGAGCACATTCTGTAAAATGAAAACCTGTCAATTGTACTTTTGCTTTTCATTTATGTACAATCACATGGGATATCTAACACAGGAACAGGCCATTCAGCCCAACGAGTCCATGCCAGTGTTTATGCTTTACTAGAGCCACTTCCTATCTTCTTTCATTTACATCTGTCACCATAACCATGTATTCCCTCCTCCCTCAAGCACTTATCTGGCTTCCAATTACATCCAGACTGTTCACTTTAACCACTTACTGTGATAGAGTTCCAGTAAAAGCATGATTAGTAAGTTTGTGGATCATACAAAATTAGGAGATATCATTGATAATGAAGGAGGTTATCAAAAATTACAGAGCAATCTTGATCAGGTGGGGAAGTGGGCTGAGATTTTGCAAATGCAGTTCATTACAGATAAGTGTGAGGTGTTGCTATTTGGAAAGTCAAAGACTTATGCAGTAAATGGTAAGGTCCTGAGGAGTGTTGTGGAGAAGAGGGGCCTTGGAGTGCAAATGCATAATTCATTGAAAATGGCATCACAGGTGGACAGGGTGGTGAAGAAGGCATTTAACATGTCGGCTTTCATCGATCGAGTCATTATGTTACAGTTGTATAAGTCGTTGGTGAGGCCGCACTTGGAGTATTGTGTAGATTTTTGGTCACCCTGTTATAGAAAAGACAGAGTTAAATTGGAAATTGTGCAAAGCAGATTTACGAGGACTAGGAGGCCTGAGTTAAAGAGAGACATTGGCCAGGATAGGACTTTATTCCTTGGAACGTAGGAGAATGAAGAGTGACCTTATTGAGGTGTATAAAATCATCAGGGGCATAGATAGGATGAATGATATAGGCTTTTTCCCAGGGATGGGGAATTGAAAACTAGAGGGCATAGGTTTAAGGTGAGAGGGGTTAGATTTAAGAAGAACCTGAAGGGCAACTTGTTCATGCAGAGAGTGGTGTGTCTGTGGAATGGGCTACCGGAGAAAGTGGTTGAGGCAGTACAATAGCAATATTTAAACATTTGGATAGGTACGTGGAGGAGAAGGGTTTAGAGGGATATGGACCAAACACAGGCAGTTGGAATTAGCTCAGAGGCCACCATGGTTAGCGTGGACAAGTTTGGGCTGAAGTGCCTGTTTCCATGCTGGATTACTCCATGACTCTGACTGTATTCTCACCACTCTTTTTGGGTGACGATGTCCTTGATGAGATTTCTTGATGACTATCTTATATTTATGGTTTTTACTTATGACTCTTCTCCACAAAAGGCAATGTTTTCTCTCTATTTGGACTGTCAAAACCTTCCATAACTTTAGAGGTCTCCATTACTTAACCACACCCGCCCCCCCCAACCCTGTCTTTACCAAGAGAGAAGAGACCTAGCCTGTCAGTAGTTTCAAACATCTGAACTTACAAGTTAGAATCAGAACAGGCCATTCAGTCCCTCGAGTCTGCCCTAATTTAAAACCTATTTTACATGATCTGTCGTTTTTTTTTAAATGAGAACAAGACTAAGTCTTGGTATTAGTAATAAAAATGCTATGTAGATTGAAGTTTGCTACAAAGAAGTAACACACCTTGGAATTCGTATGGCACAAACCCTGTTCATGAGTTTATTGAAACCGCAACAGGACTTGCATTTATCTCATTCCAATAAAGTTGGAAAACACTCTCAGTATGCTTCCTGAAGCTGATTAAAATAATCAGCAATGAGATGCTGTGTCAAAGAATGAAGATATAAGGCAGGGGAGCAAAAGCTTGATCAAGTATGCTGTTTTTAAGAAGTTAACGGTGAACACTGCAATAGAAAGCAGATGGATTCAGGAAATTCCAGACCAAGGTCTACTTGGCTTAAGACGCAGCTTCTCTTAGCTGAACGAAAGAATGCCAAACTGAGGAGATCAAAGTCAAAGAACTTGTACGTCTAGGGATGGGACCTCAGGGGAGGCGGGGAGTGTGGGGAGCAATGCTACAGCAATGGAAGTAGTCAGTTGCTGCTAGAGTGACACGTCTGGGGTTAGAAGTTCAGCTCCAGGTCAACTAAGACCTGAAAGTAACAAAGTGATTTCAACTAAGATGTTGGACAAGCAGTCTTTCAGCAGTTGATTATGGGTTGAGCTGGATGCTGTCGGTGTACTTGCGATGTTGACCCCACCTTTGCAGATAATTTTGTCCAAAAGCAGTAGATGAGGATAATGGGGAGGCCAGGGCATAGGTGCTTCCCCATGGCATTTCCTACAGCCTGATTGCTGCTTTCAGTGTGATACTGATTTATTCCAGCCTATCTTTCTCTGTAGACTCATTTTAATCTTAATCAAAGTCCGGAGCTTTGTCCACTGAGAGTAAGACGATAAACTGTAGGATTAGAAACAAGCCAATCAGCCCATTGAGTCTGCTCTGCCATTCAGTGAGATCATGGCTGATCTGATAATCCTGCCATTCCACTTTCCTGCCTTTTCCCTGTAAATCTTGATTCCCTTACTGATTAAAAATCAGCCTTGAACATAGTTAATGACATGGCCTTAACAGCCCTCTGAAGTAAAGAGTTCCACAGGTTCACAATCTTCAGAGAGAAGAAATTCCCCTTATTCTGAGATCTGGCCGTCTTGTCCTAAACACTCCCATAAGTGGAAACATCTTTCTACATCCAACCTGTCAAGTCCCTTAATCTGAGATAACAAGGTGTAGAGCTGGATGAACACAGCAGGCCAAGCAGCATCAGAGGAGCAGGAAGGCTGACGTTTCGGGCCTAGACCCTTCTTCAGAAATTTTCTGAAGAAGGGTC